CATCAGTGCAAATGAAGAAATCCTCAAAAAAGCTTAGACAAAAACATAGTACTTGTAGCATGACATTAGAAACTTGTTTTGTGAACTATATAACCTCTGCTGTCTCTGTCCGTTCTGATGTACTTCTCCGTCAGCCTGTATCAGTAAGTACTTCACTGTTTCTGTTTTGGGATCCTTCTGCTTTCCAACTCACCAGGACTACTTGCTCTTGGTTGTTCTGGCTGAAGTCCCAGAGAAATAACAATACCCTTGAGTTGAGTCTCATAGAGTTCAAGAAGCAACAGGTGCTCAAGGGAGCCTTTAACCTGGGTCCCTAGCACAGCCTCTGATAGTGCACAACTTTTTTCCCCAAACGGGAAAATGGAATTAAGATACAGAGAGCCTGAATGAAGACCAAGCAAGCAATCTGCTCCAAGACAAGAACTTCCTTAACTTATGGGTTTTGGTTTTTTCCCTAATGCTGCAGAAGTGCCCCTGAACTTAGGTTGATCACATCCTAATGGGACTTGCTTAGCTTTCTACTTCCTATTACACTGGGTGGCTCGCAGAAGTTTTCCTGATCAAATCCAGAGCTCTGGTTTTACTTCCAAAATCATGGCAGTAAAGGAACCCACATTTTAAAAAAACAAAACAAAAAAAGACTACCGCCCAAAAAACCCCAAACACCTGTAAGAGTATATTTTACTACTATTTCTTTACTTTAGAACTGTAAAATCACTTGAAGAATGGGTTTAGTTTTTTGTTTGTTTGTTTTTAGACAAAGATACATTTGTCATAAAAAGTGTTCGTCCCCAATCTATGAATTCAGGTCATGTTTATCAAAAACTTGAACTTGAAATAAGCCTCTGAACAAGATGCACAAAATTAAGTGAAATTACAGAAGACAGCAATATGTTCTTCCTGTTTACCTAACATACTGGTGGTCAAAGGATGATAGAGGAACCCTTACCAAAATCATCACTACTTCACTACTGTCTTCATGATTTTTGATTTGTTTTCCTTACAAATCCCAAAACGTGTTTTGTTCTGCATTGAATGAAATATTTAGTGCCAAGCAAAAGGATTTTTCAAAAATTTTTCATCTTGGCTAAAAAACTCCAAGACCTTTTGGTTCAATCAAAACAAAGCCTTCCCTCCTCCCCAATTTCTTGGCACTGAATCTGTACTTGACTACTGAATCAAAAGTATTAAAAAAAAAAAACCCCACCACACATGGGCCATACACTTTTTATTTCAAAATCAAAAAATGCTACATCTCTTATAAGTCATGAGCCTTTTTTTATGTAGTTTTGACTTCTGAAATGCTAAAATCCCTTGCTTAACAAAGAGATGTTTGATTCTCTCTCAAGCTAGCAACTTCTTTTCTTCTTACATTCACATTTCTTTTGTCTTCTCTCCTCTTTCTTCACTCTTCTGCTTCTAACTCCCCGTTAGATTAGCATGATTTAGTTTTCACTCCCTTTTTTACAAGAAGGCTGCTTTTAATAAACAGGAGCCAGTGTCCCACTAATGACAGGCTCTTAGGGCATCTTCACTTTTACTCTCCCCAAATTTTTTTTTCTTCCACAACTTACCATTTCTTTTTCATAGACACTCCTCTCATTCATCTTCTGTTTAGTTTCAAGAACTACATACTTTCCTGAAGTACCTCTCACATCCCTAATTTTCTTTCCTTTCTTACTTTCCATATGCCTTTTTTTAAGCTTGCATTTTTTGGTCATTACTTGTTTTCCCACTATATTCTACTTCTAGATCATTTAATCATCACAAATAAAATTAAGTATTTAAAGCTATTCTCGTAGCCATTTTCATAGCTTTAAATACTTCACTCTCCTTTTCTGCTCGTTCTGGAGTCTCAAAAGAAAAAGAAGAAAAAAAAAATCAAAACAAATCCTCTTAGTTGTTCTTACCATTTTTCATCGCAATTCTCTCATTCAACCCCACCTGTGAGCATTTACTTTAAAGCATACACTTTACAATTTACAAATCCCCCAAAACCACATCCAACTGATTTAATTCATTGTATTGAAAACTTCACAACCTGAACAGAATGCATAAGGCTATTCTTTGCCTTCCCATAAACACTTTAATTTTCAAAATGGCCCCTGCTAAGTCACAACGAACTACTATGACAAAAGATGTTTTTAACTATATCACTCTGTCAACATACATTTTGGTTTTTCTCTTTGAAGACACTGATGATACGGGCTCCCTTTTGCTCGTTGGTGTCTCATTCTTGCTTATACCATGACATGTTGCAAAATAAAGACTCCGTATACTTTGGCCAACATTCATTTTAAACATTTAGCTTCAAGTGTTTGGAGTACATAGTGTTTGTTTACAATAGGTTACAATATTACATGTCATTTTAATCATTATGCTTAAAAGAAACGCAGTATTCATTCTAACAAACCCAATTTAAAACCCCACCCTAGCCTCTGTGATACTTAGTTTGTAATTATTAAAACATAGAGAACACTCTAAACAATATGCTGTGAACACAATGCGGCAGACAGTTGAAACTGTATCCATGGTCAATTTTGGAAAATCTAATTTGTTTATGTTTTAAAGTAATTTTCTGATAACTTGGACTGGTCCAAAGATCACTCGTTTGGAAAAGTAAAAAAGAAAAAAAAAATCAAAGGTATTACAGTTTAGAACAGTTTAAAGGAAGATTGCTTGCTTTTTAATTAAGTGTGTTCTATTTTACACTTTCAAACCTTAAGAAAATGGATTAATAGTTTCTTTATTTATCCTGATAATCCTATGCGGAGTCTTAAAATACCTAAGACTCTTTTGCTTGTTTTATTGGTTTCCTCCTATTTGTCGGCACATTGAACCTTGTTACAAAATAGATGACAGGGTTTTTTAGAATGAGTTTGTTTGTTGGTTTTTTTGTTTGTGTTTAACTGTGTCTGGATAACACCAAATCTAAATAAGGTATGGTCTTAACCTCTGACTCAATTCTGCATAACAACTAACAGTAGAAAAGCAGCTATCTTATTTTTACACTAAAAGCATACAAAAGATTGAAGCTGTTTTACCTTCCATTTCTTCCACAGGCACGTAAATCCTCAAAAATCTTGTGTGTATACACAAAGTGTCTTCTAAAAATGCTACCCTTAAATATACTACTTACAAAATTATGCATACCATTACCCAAAAAGGAAACTAAACACAATATGAAACATTGATTTAAAGGAAAAGAAACAAATCAAAAAGGCATGAAGACAATCAGAGTATACCAGGGTATACCCAACTCAATTATCACGTTAACTCGGCAATGAGGCTTTAACAGACCAGAAACAGTCTGCACATAATGTGCTTGCACCAGCCATAAAAGACACGCCCAAATTTGAAATAAAGATAATAGCTGTCTCAGCAAGATAGCATGTTACTGTTACATGGAGGTGATCTATGAAGTCATTTTCTTAGAATACTTACCACTAAATCCCAGTTATTTTGTTCCAGCAATGTTATAGCTTCATCAATATTTTCAATACCAGTACATGCCTAAAAAGAAAAAGAAGCCATAAACAGAATTAAAAGCATTGATCAAAATCAGAGTATTACTACTTATAATTTAATTAATTTCAGCAGAATGACAGGAAAGGTATAGGTCTTTCATTTCTGTTAGGAAAGGGTAATCCAGAAATCAGGTTTCAAGTTCTAAACATCAAACATTTGAATATAATTCCCTGTTCCACCAGAAGACTCTTGTGTAACCTTGAGCAAACCGCCCAGAGAAGCAAGACAAAGTAATTATTTGTAAAATTAGGACATCAGTGCTGTCCCATAAAGGTGTTTTGAGAATTCCATGTTCAAAATTATGAAACACTCATACTACCTTAAAAGGGAGCACAAAAGTACTTAATACTTTTTAATGATTTTTTAACTTTAACATCATTTTAATGATGTTTCAGATGGCTGAAATATAGCATCTCAAGCCAGAAATACATATATAAATGCTGCTGCATCCACCATCATCTTATACCCCTAAGTCACTCTGGGTGTTACACAGTGCAGTGTAAGAGGAAAAGAAGGCAGCAAGTATGAATTTTTGCTCAAAGTGCCAACTTACGACTGCGTGTACAAATGAGCACCCCTTGTGAACCTATTTAAAATGAAGACTATATAATGAAACATGTACAATATTTTCCTTTCAGACAAAACACTTGCATGTGGTTCTAGCCCTACACTCTGGCTTTACCTAGTTCAAGAAATCTAATGCAATAGCATTTTTAAAGTAGTGATACCATCCCACAAAATGGTGTTGTAAATTGAGCTTAATTCCAAATACAAGAGCGCACCTCTACTCAGCAAAAAACTTGATGCAGCATCCTGCTTTGGTTTGGTGGGGTTTTTTTTGATATCCATACCTTTTCAACTATTCAACTTCAGCAGGCAGAGCATTGCTATTCATTCTGCCACATATTTGCTGCCATTCCCATTGAAGGGTATCAGATATATTTCACCAGAGGGGAAAAATGGAAACAGTTAAGTTTCTTTCTGGAATTTATCTCTCATCCTGATGTTCTGTATTCAAGCACACAAGATGAGTTCAGACTTTTACAAGATCTGAAACATGATCATGCCCCTTATGCTCCACCACACAGTTATATAAAAATAAGTTTATGTAAGGCTTATATAAAACTACGTTAAAAAAATCCAACCTTTTAACAGGAATAATACAGAGTTAGAGAGCAGCAGCAAACAGATCAGTTTTCCTGATTCCAAAGATAGTCGTGTTTTTCCTTTATGTGATCAGAGAAAAAGGGGGCTAGGCACAGAAACAGAAACTTTTTTTCTCCCAAGACATAAAAAGCCATCAGGTCATACATTTTCCATGCTCTGACTTTTCTCCCAGTTTACAACAATGAAGAAATAAAAACTAGAAATCACAGAGAAATTCAAGGCCAATTCTCTCTTCACAAATTCAACACTGAAGAATTCCACGCTTATGAAGCATTACATGCAGTGTGTCTACACAGAATGGACCAGTCTGGAGGACCGCAAAGATCACAAGAAGACATTTTAGAGATTTTTTTTTTTGCCTGCAGAGGGGAGGCAGCAGTTTCTATTGATCCACAATGCTCTCCCGGCCAGATTGATTCTCTCTGGAACAAGACAAAATTTCTTCCATTGCTCACAGCATGTTGTGTTAATACTGAATTTCACCCACTTTGCATCTGGAGTGCTAAAAAATTTAAAAAATACAGTTTTGCTCTTCATAAACATCATTTTGCCTTCTCTTCCATTACTTCTTGCAGTTACTTCTGAAGTTAAAAATGAGACAACGCTTTAACGCATTCCCTAGCAAATGCGAAGGTTATAAGCACTTACACCAGGTAAGCTTGAGGAGTGCAGGGCTTGAGCTTGTCATTTCCGAAATCACAGGAGGGTTCATACTACCATAAACCTGCCACTGAAATTGATGTTGACAGCTCTGCTGCAAAGTAGTTTTACTTTGAGAAAAAGTTTTGCAGAAGTGACAGTCCCAGGTTCTGTTTACAGTTAACTGAAATACACTTAAAAATGCAGTCATTACAGAAATAGTGAGCTACTATTTCTCATTTATCAGCCCTGCAAACTCTGCATGACCTTTCTAAGAACCAAGTTGTTCCATCATACAATAAGAACCTGACCAACAACATGTTATTTTCAACCCTGGGCTGTGCAGATGAAGTTGAGGAGAGGTTACCTAGAATTCAGGGCTCAACTACCAATTTTAGTTGCTCTCTCTTCCATATCACCCCTGCAGCTCAGCTGACTTGCAGCTGTCCGTATGCACACTCTTAGCCCATACTAACTGCAAATCAGTTCAGCTCACTTTGGCATACTTTTATTTTGAGATAAACTTCTGCCAGAGCACACAGTGAAAGGAGTTACTTCATCACAGAGGAGGCAGAGTAATTAAGCAACGAAATCACTTGTATGTCTGCATGCTTCCTAAATCACCTTGTTGGTGATTTACAATCTAAAATACAATCCCGCTCTT